TTTCCTGTGTGGTCTGGGACAACCACCTGCTCTGCTCATCAGTGACAAGGCGTGGATACAAAGCAGGCTGAGTTTCTGCACCTATCTTATTTTTAAGATGTGAAGAGGTGTAACAGCTCATAATGGAAATCAGCCAGTATCTGGGTTTTCTTTTTTTATTTTAAAAACAAAGCAACAACAACAAAAGAATAAAAACAATCATACAGAATTTGAAAACAACAATAGGAAATTAACAATAGTTAATATATTACATATTGTCATCTTCAAATTAGTTGTTCAGATTATGAGCTTCAGGCACCAGAAATTATCAATCAGACAATGAAAGCACAAACTGTTCTTTTTGATGAACTAACAAAGATTAGTAGTATGGTTACCTATCTTGTATATATACAATCTTTCCCTTTTTTCTTTTCTCCCTTGCCCCACCCCTGTTGTTCTTTACTTTTGAACACTTTCTTTCCCTTTTGTTTTCACAATATCTGTTGTACATTTTTTATCTTATTTCCCCTTCAGGTTGTTTTACACCAGGGAGGACAATATGATATTTACCCACGTGAGTCTGATTTATTTCACTTAAGGGTATGGTCTCAAGTTGCAAATATTTATCTATAAAAGCCTCAAGTTTATTCTTTATACCTGAGTAATAGATTGTTTAAAACATCACATTTTTTATCCATTTCTCAATTGATGGGCATTTGGGTTGTTTTCCAAGATTTAGCTATTACAAATTATGCTGTTATAAATATGAGTATACATGTATCACTGTGGTATGATGTTTTGAATTCTACTGGGAAAATACTCAGAAGGGGAATAGCTGGATTGAATAGGACCTCCAATCCTAGTTTTTTAAGGAATCTCCACAGTGCAATGTCTGACTGTTCAGTGATCCAGAATTTTCTAATTAAATTTAAGCCCAAAAATTTCTAAAAAGTTTAAAAGATTCTTAAATTCCTTTAGCATCTACAAAAATGCTTGTAATTTTTACATTTCAATAAAACTGTGTTATTTGCTCTAAATACACATTATGCCATATATTTTATATTTCACATTATATATCATACATCACATATCACAATATATCAAACAGTGAATGTTTCAATAAATCCATTACAGTAAGACCCACTGCCTTTACCCCTCCCTGTAACGCTTCTCACTTCGAGCACACTTATCCCATCATCCCACCTTTCTCTGGAGCAGTCCTGCAAGTCCTCGTCCTGAGCATCTGCACTGCACTGTGCCCTGCTCTCCTGCCTCTATCAGCACATTTACCTGTGACGGTCCTTTTCCCTCTGGTGAAGTCCAGAAGTTGCACAGTACCAGGTCAGGGGAAGGAAGTGGTTAAGGATACATCATGGTGGTTTTGTTTGACAGAAATTGCTGTAAATGCTTGACCATTCATCAAAAATTTAAAATTCACTAAAAGTTTAAGAATGTTTATTAAAAGTAAAAGGCACATTGCCATTCATTCTCCTCTAAAGATTCTAAGGACTCCTTGCTTTGAACGCATTTACCCTGTCATTTTGGACATTTGTCTTTCACATCACTAAATTAAAAAATTTAAGCATTCCCTGGAGATTGTTCACCCTTTTATATACCCTTTTTATAAAGAAAAAAAATGTCACATCATGGCCAGGAGTTCCCAAAGGGAATCCTTTTTCCCAGCAGAAGTCATTTAACAATGTCAGAGATACTTTTGACTATTTTAACTGGAGGTGCGGTACCCATGGCATTTAGCAGGTGATGTCTAGGGACCCTGCTAAATATCCTACACAGCACAGCCCAGTTCTGCCCAGTAGAACTGTCTGTTCCACAGTGATGTCTAGATTAAGGAGTTCTGGTCCAGAAATAGCTCCATGCCTTGTGTTTAGTGCTGCTTGCAGAGTTTCAGGTAGCACAGCTAAGAGGGAAATTCAGCCCCAGTGGCATTTCCGAGGGAAACCTCCTTTTAGGGCAGCTAACATATAGAGTTTGGCTCACTGATTTTACATTTGGAAAGTCTCTCAGAGGACTGCGGTTTTCCACTGGGTTTGTGTTCTCTGCATTGGGTAAGCACTGACTCCTACTCTTTAGCTCTTAGGGAGGCTGAGAAGAGAACTTTCACTCCTCTCCACTTTCTAGGGTTGTTACAACTCTTCAGTCCTCTCATCCTTCACACATTTCTCCAACCAATTCAAAGTCACAAGCAAGGAGAACAAAGGTAACAAATAGAAGAGCTAAGTAATATGCTGTCCAGAAACCCTGAAGCAGTATTTGCTGATCCCTAGTGGAGTTATGGAATGTTAAAAATCACTGAAATTTTAATCAATGGATAAAAATATGAAGAGTTGTACATCTTGTGTTACATGCCACAAATGTGAGATTTTTAACTTTTTTATACCTAGAAGCACATTTTCTTTAAGGAGCAATTTTAATGATTTCAACTAAGTATACTTAAATTTTCAATAGCTAAATATCAAAACCCAATGAGTGAAATCAATAACTCAGAAAGCCAAGAGAATGTATTTCAGAGTAAATATCAGTGGGTTCTATACAGTTTCAATGATCCCATGTTGATAGCCCTGAAATTAAAACAAATCAAATAAAAGATTTAGGTTAATGATGACCACAGACATCGCCTTATACTTGCAAATGTCCGTTAGCATCGAGTCTCCAAGTACCTGTGAGAGTATTCCACCACAGACAGCCTCCCTGAAGGTTTGTCACTGGTGTTCAGCAGGAAACCACAAGTCAGCCCAGTCACAGTGCCGACTCATTCACCTGTCATGCATCAGGATACCTTGAGCACAACTGATCGGAAAATGGGTATTTTATTCCTTTCATTAAAAAAAAAAAAAAAAAAAACTTGTGCAATTAGCATACTGGGATGACTTTGCCACTCATGAAAGAAATCACTGTGGGCAGAGAAAGCTTGTTTGATTTTAATATATTTTCCTTTCTGGTGACAGTGCAATTTAAGAATATGTAATTATTAACTTATGTAGAGAGACCACAAGTTGTCTGTCTCTGTTTATTTCTACTGCTGGTTTTGACTTTCTTCTTTATAGTTTTCTGTCCCACATTATAGACCAGAGTGTAAGTGTTAATTCATTCACTTACTTACTGAGTAGAAAAAAGGACAAAGGACAAATTCACAAGGTATAAGAAACAAGAATCAATTTTTTGGGGCTTCACTGACAAGAAGACCACTCTATGGCAATCCCCACCCTCTCAGTTATTATTTACAATACAAAAGAACAATCACCGTATTGATGCTATAGTAACACATTGCCATAACACAAGAGGCTCAGTGAAGAAGCAGATGTGTGGACCACCGACCTCCCCAGTCTCTTATTCACCCAGGCTAGAGAAGCAGCCCATGGATTCATATTTTAAACACAATCCCACGTGTTACCATTGAGAAATACATATGAAATTTTGGAGTACAGGATTTATGTGCGATAACCTGAGTTTTAATCTCAGTTTTAATAATTGCAGGAGTTAATGACCTACTTCATCTTTAGTTTGCCATCCATAAAATGCAAGTAGGAATTCTGTCTCTTTTATTTGTTTTGGCATTAAGAATATTTGAAATGCTGTAATGCATAGTTAGTACCCAGCAAATGGCATTCCACTATGGAAGTATCCATCACTGGCATCTCCATCATCAAACTTCCGTGGCTAATTACTTCCTACAGATCTAGTACAGGCAATTGCAGTAGATCTAAAGCAAGCAAAGACAGTCCTGATTTTTTCATTTAATTAGAAAATCCAATTAAAATTAAATGTACTGCAATAAAGGCATGTGTGAAGTTACCATTAAGTTTCTTTGCTTTGAGCAAATATTCTTCAGATCCCTGTGGTAATTATCTCATGCTACCTGGGTGTAGTATTTGATACTTTAATATCTTTTTTTAAAAGAACAAACCAATCAATAATTTTATGTAATTTGGTTTTCTGATAACATCCCAAATATGAGAACAATGATGCAGATATCATTCAGTGATTTCCGTGTTGAATAATTTACATAGTTGTGAATCAGGGTATCTATCCTAGATGGTGTCATACAATACATCAGTCAGGATGGAGGATAACAAATGGGCTAATGTTTAAAAACCATGATCCACATTCAGAAATTTTAACATGAAGAGAAGAAAATAACAGCCTTGTCTGCATTTTTCACATCAGATAAAGATAATTCCTCCTTCAGTTAATACCTGTAATAGGAATAATGACACATAATTCTATTTATTATCTGTGCTATAGAAGGCATCAAGTGTGATATACAAAGAAAACCACAATGCAGAGATTTAGTGCTAAGAAAATGCAAAGGAAAGCAAATTTAAACACTTACTTTCACACGTCATAAACCCCTTGCATGCACTGACATACACATTGGCATGAACATCAAATTTCATTTTTACACAAATTGAACTTTTCCAACCGGCAAGAAAAAAAGTTTCACTGCATAGTGCCAAATGCAAACACATTAGTGAAAATTGAAAGCTACATATCACAAAATTTTACTAGTACTAGTTGGCTTATCAGGTCCAAGAATTATAACATTCCTAATAAACCAATATTAGAATACATTCCCAAACATGCAAATAATCCCACTGCTAGAGTTATTTAATGCACTTTTATGCAAGGAGCATGTGCCCCTAATTAGATTGTTGATGCGGCAGATTATTATAACTCTAATAGGCCCGTATGATGCTACTCAATTGATGGTAAGCGGGGCAGGTCAGTTCATCAGGCCTTATCTCTAATTAGCACTAAAAATGCACTGCAAACTATAGCAGAGAAACGACTTGACTTTTCTAAACTAGATGCATACAGAAGGGCAAATAGAGCTCTATCTTCAGGGGGAGGAAGACTATTATGAGACAACCAAAAGGTGTCCCTGTAAGAGTCACGTTCACCATCAGTCACCATGTATCACAGAAAACTGTCCCTGCCTAGAAAAGGAGCCTCCGCTCTTCCCACGTCATCCTCCCCACCCTGAAAACACCAGGCCGGATTACCTTTCTCACAGTGGCTTCCTGTGAATCCAGACGGACAGGCACATGTGTTAGGAGCCACGCATGTTCCACCGTATCTGCAGCCCTCTTCACAGAATGCTGTTGGGAAGAATGGCTCTGCTTAGATAAAAAGCAGTCAGGAAATCTATGGGAAACACACGAGCGCTGGACCTCTCTTTGTGGCATCAGGGAACACACACATCTGTACTTGGCAAAATAAGATTTTCCAAACATAAAGGAAATCAATTTTATAGTACTCATTTCACTTTTTATATGAAATCAACTGAAATCATGGACCAAGTGTTTCGCACTGGTTTGGCTGTGCTAAATGCTGGCTGGCATGAGCAGCTACTGCTGTTGGTGTTATTATTGATATATCTGAAATCAAATAAGAGAAACTGAAAAACTAGGAGGGTAAGATCTGGATGAAGGCAAAGCCTTTTCCAGTGCTTATGATTTATTTCATACTGTTTTTCACCAACCATCTTGTATGACATTTTTTGTTTATAAGTAGGAGTTTGTGGTATTTGATAAATTTTGTAACATAGTGATTTAACTCCTTATTTTTAGCCAATTAATCTACTTCCAATATTTTGGTGATAAAAGCAATGAACTGTTTTTATAGTTACAGTGTTTAGTTTACCCCTGAATGATTCCTCTGGTAAAAAGGCCTCAGTGCAGCAATGCTGCTGAGGAGGAGGTGGACTCTGCCACTTCATGAAGCTTTCAGTTATCCAGCTCCATCCCAGGGCTGCCCTGCTGACCGGGGCAGATCTGCTGACCTGCAGATCATGTTAGCTCCCCCTGTGTGCAGCACTCACAACAGGACAGCGTAGCAGCCCACCCCTCTCCACTGCAGCATTAAATACAATCGTCCATTCACACAGAACTGGTTACCACCTACCACCTCATCCACTGGACTGTGCAGCCCACAAGGACAAGTGGCAAAATTGCTTTTGATCACCACTCAGTCCTAGTCTCAGTATCTGACTACATAGCAAATCCTCAAAAAATATTGTTTTGAATTCTTTCACAGATGTTCTGCAGATTATTCAGATAAAATGCTCTTGTTGTAATAACTCTGAATCACTTCCAATCAGTGTACTCTACTGTCTCTTACTGTTAAACAACCAGTAAGCATCCTATAAAATACATTTAAAATAAATATCAATGAAGATGATTGGAATCATTACTGAAGATGTTTTTATTATGGGAGACAAATGTTTTAAATTTTAATTGCAGTTCAAAAATATTGTCTACCCTGAAAAAAATGCCATGATTGCATTCTGTTACTGGTGTCATCACACAATTAATATTAATTCAGTTGTAAGGAGTTAAATTATTTGTTTAGTGGAATACAAGTTGGAGTGCCCAGAACTTGCCCCAAAATTGTCATTTCCATTTCCTATCACTTAGATGATTTAGCATCCTTGCTTCAGCAATTGACTGTGAACTTCACTGCCCTTCCCAGTAAGCAGTGTACTCCTTGAAATGCACCCCCCCCAGTACACTTAACCAACGCACAAAAAGATTTACACAATTTTTATCTTGGTATGCTCGTGACAAAGTGAAAAACACATAAATACATGAATGCAAAATCTCTTGTCCCAAAAATTACATATTGTGAGCTCTGGTGGCTGACATTTCAAATAAGATATTTAAAGTATTGCTTTGCATAGAAGTGAGTAACATAAAAGGACAGGGCTTTTGCCAGTTAAAAATGGCAGGAAAATTTTGTAAAATAAATACTGAAGCAGCACCAAAAGAGGCCAGAACTTTGAAAATTGAAAACTCAGCTTAATTTTTAAAAAATTTTATTACTGCATGTTAGTACTGCATAATGATGGGGTATGTTGTGGGCAGTGAGTACACACATTTAATATTTCTTAATTAATTTCAGTCCTCTTTTGGCCCTCTCCCTTTCCTCCTATCTCCCTCAGCTCCAGCATTTTACCTCTCAGTTTCCCACTGTAGCTCCTTCATTTTAGCCAGTTATTTATTATTTTATGCATTTATTATTTTTATGCATTTTCTCATATTAGCAGAAAACATGAGATATTGAACTTTCTGAATCTAATTTCACTCTACATTATAGTTTTTAGTTTAACTTTTTAAACTGTACAAATGAAACAGCATTTCACCTAGACCCCACAGACCTGGTCAGGAGACTGAGTGATATTGCACTGTGGATATATATATAGTTCATGATTTACTGACCCTGTAGTTAGAATTAATAGTAGGAGGTGTCGCATGGAAAGCATGAGATGCTTGTGACTGTACACACATCATAATCAAAACCCTACATGAGGATAAAATGAGGTGACATTTGTAAAGAATGTAAAAGTGTTTGGCACATAGTTCCTGCTATATAAGTGTTTTGCTTATATAAACCCTGTTGACAGCAGCGTCATTGTGACTGTGAACAAACCATCCAAGACCCAAGCAATATAAAGCCATCTTGCATGATGCACAGCTTCATCAAGATGAGTTAAAGACATCTATTGTGATTCATGATTGATTTACTTTTGAATAAGTAAATCATCCCTTGGTGTAGAGATATCTGATAGATTTTAGTGTTTCATACAAAAACAAAAGGTGGAACAGAAACTATGAAGTCAGGTGCCCTGTCTAGAACCACACAGGTACTAAGCAAAGAAATCTCTAACTTAAAAACATTACCTCTTTTTCATATGTTACAATACAGTTTTGTCTACAATTTGGTATTCACATAGAGAGATTTACTCTTTTTTGAATAGTTCCATCACAGCAGAAATAAATGAAAACTATACCCAGATTTTATAGATTACATTAAACAATTGGTGGTATGTAAAATTCATGAACCTATTAGGAAATCACTTTGTCTGAGCCTTATACTATTTATGATAAATCTAAATACATATCTATTTTAAATGGAATTTACTTGAGGTAAACAAAGCTTTCATTGCGTACTTCAATATTAGATGGCATGCAAAAATAATTTTAAAAATCACAAAAAAAAACAAATAATGAAGTATCGTGTCACTTGTAACTTAAAAACTCTTTGGGGAATGAAGATTTAAAAAGTTTTCTTTGAACATCTCATAAAATATCAAATTAAACTGTTGCAATTTGCTCTGAAGTTGGTGGGTGGATTCCTTCTACAGGATAAGGGATGTTCAACCAACAGAGCACCCAGCATGTAAAAACAAAGACTCTGCTTGTCATGGGACATACGATGTATAGAGTATTACTTGTTGATGTCAAAGTTACAGAAAAAAGCTAGGTCACCACTACATGCTCTTGCCAGTTTATGAGTAACTGGGCTATTAGAAACTATGATCCAAATGCTTACTCTCAATTTACTGATAGTGTAACCCACAGCTATTCATTTCACCTCGCTTTGCCTCCATTTTCTCTCAATCATTAATATCGAAAGCACTAATGCTGTGAAAGTTAAATTAAAATCACCAACATTAACCACAAAGTACAGTGCAAAGCAACTGAAACGGTCTTAAGAACTGGAGGCAACTGCCGTTTTTGTTATCATCAGGAATATTCTTTTCAAGATACCAATACTGGGATAGTTAAACTGGATTTTCAACTTGATAGGCTTAAGAACAACTCAAGAAAGCAGCATAGTTCATGTATATTTTTGTGGGTCATGGCCCCTCCTCTCTGTCATAGTTCCTATTCTGCTTCCTCAGAGACGTGAAATGAATGCTTTTGCTCTAACATACCCTTCTGTCAGGATTTTTTGTTATGCACACAGCTGATCTTAGGCTGCAACTGAAACCATGAACGAAACTGAACTTGGCCTCATTTAAGGTGTGGTGGTGAATATTGGACCCCAGTGATGGGAAAGGTGACCATCTAGCATACTGGTACCAGCAGTAGAATCACTGCTGATCATGCAGCTCAGAAGCCTTTGAAACTGGTTTATGGGAGGAATTTGGCACAGTTTACAGATCCCAGATAGACAAGTCCCAGAGTATTGCAAGCAGAGCTGGGTGGGGAATTATTGTCAGAGCTCCAAATTCTATAATGTTGGTAAGAATGCCAAAGGTAAAAGGCCATGTTGATGAAGTTTGACTTAGGAAAGAGAACAATATATGGAACTAACCTAGAGAGAAACCATGTTAAAGTCTGGCAGGAAATTTGATACTTTTCTCATGTCCTGAAATTCTGCAGGATGATCTATTTCAAGTAAGTGGACTAATTGATCTGGTGGAAGAATTCAAAGGCTATCAATGTTCAAGCTATGCCTGCTTTTAGACATGTATAAAATGATTATCAAGAGCAAAAAATATGTTTTAAAGCACAGTCATAAAAGTTAAATTTTGGCCTTAAGGAAACCACATGTAAATTTGATGTGGTTGCTATAGAGATTCACTCTGCTAATAAGACCACAAAATTTTGAACCAGGGGAAGGATGCCTTGATGGCATCTGAAGCACCTAAAAGACTCAATTAATTCCAGGTTCAAGGATGAAAAAAAGAGTAAACACTTTGGGGCTGGGGATTTAGCTCAGCGGCATAAGTACCTGCCTTGCAAGCAGGCAGTCGAGAGTTCGATCCCCAGTACTGATAAAAAGGAAAAAGACAAAAAAAAAAAAGAGTAAACACTTTATCTGAGAATACAGCCCTCAAGACCCCTGTTCAAGAAGGGTCAGCTAGAACCTTTGCATAATTAATTTAACCATGCTCTGCAATCCATGGACTCAGTGATCTTCACAGCTACGATCTAAAGAAACCTAGCTACTATTTGAGCTCTCACAGATATTGGTATAGCCTGCATAATGCTGACTTTTCAGCATGCATAATACAAGAGTTGTAGGACCACAAAAGCTTCCACCCAGATTTCAAAGGAAGAACTGGAAAACCAGGCAAAGGGAACCTGAAGGAGAATGTGGGCATAAATCCAAAGGTGAAGTCGTGACCTTGAAGGTACAATGAACGTGAACTTCTTTAGGCTGTGATCTGTAAAATCATTAGCAATAGGGATGCCAAATCCTCTGGGACTCATTCCTCACCACTGTGCACTCAGATCTTAGACATGGAACAATGGGTTTAAAGTTTCCCCTGATGGGCTTCAGTATTACTTTGGTCCCCTCCTTTTCTATT